GCCTCATATCTTAGTCGAAGCTCCCCCACACCACCCAGCTGGATTCAGCCACCTCGGCATGGAGACGGGCAGCCTGCCTGGCCACCACAGACCTCCTCCCATTTCCGAGAAAGTACCATTTGTTTTTGGGACACAGAAGAGGACTAGCAGAGGCAGAGGGGCCTGAACACAAATGCCCTGTGCCTGCCCTGGGGTGATCTCTCTTCAGCTGCTTCTAATAGCTGACATAGCTCGGGGTCTGCAGCAGAGGGTCTCAACCCTGGCTGCGCAGCAGAATTACCTAAAGAGCTTTTAAACCACCCTATGCTTGGGCGTCAACCTCCAGAGATTCTGAGACGGTTCGGTTATGTTGGGACTGATGGTGTCTCTGGTAAGCTAATGCTGACAGCACACGTGCACACACACACACACACACACACACACACACACACGCACGCACGCACGCGTGCACACACCCCTGCATCTCTGTGTCTCCTCCTACCACGGTCCTCAGCAACACCTGACCCTAAACTCATCAACCATCACTGGCCGGCTCGGGCTCTCTCAGCACAGGGAATGGTGGGCACGTGCAGTGAGCAATCAGACATCAGCCAAGACTGGAACACCAGGTGCGTCTTCTCACAGTCACGCAGACTTTATAGATAATTCCTGGAGATCTGACTCAGCTGCCTTGGGGAAAGGCAGGGAGAGAGGAGGAAGGCCCTCCTCCTGAATAGTATATGCCCCTAAAGGGTAACAATTCTCTCTTTTTTCTGGGGATGGATGTGAAGTACGCCTGGTTGTGTGCAGTGGCATCGACACCGAGATGGCTTTCTCCAACCACAGAACTTAGAATTTGTTTCCATTTGTGGCTGTTCACATAATTAAATGTGAGACCTACCTGACAATTTTGGCATCTGACTTTACCCTTTATCACCCTCTGGGTAAATTCTGAATCTTTAGGCAAAACCCAGTCATTTAGCTTTAAAAGGAGAACTTACAGGACTGCGGTAAAACTGAAACTAAAATCATAATGGAAAGGCACTTGGTGAATCCTGTAGTCCTTTGCATGTAATTAAGTATTAAGTAAGTAGCAGTTACACTAATTCTGCGTCGATTATTACCACCCTATTGATCGCTGCATCTTCTCTGTTTGATTCTATTTTTAAAACTCTCACTAGCGGGTCAGCTCTGTGAGCTGCGGAACTTGTCTGTTCTGCTCACTATCAGGTCGCTAGTGTGCCTGATACAGTGCTGAGCACAGAGGCAACTCGGAGATATTTATTGGATTAATTAATACTCTTTGTTAGGAAGTGAGTAGAAACTGTCCTTTATGTCACTCATAAAGTAGTGATTCGAAATGTAATCTAGTGGCCCTCCTGATTCAATATCTGATTGGGTGCTTGCTCAGTGGAGAATCCTGAGGCTCACCTCCCCCAGGAAATCAGCAGCTCTTGGGGTTAAGTCAGAGGACTGGCATTCCTGGCTGCAAGTCCCTGCTGCTGATGGAACCCATATAAATGGTATCTGCAGGCATGGAGAACAAAAGCCCTGCTCTTAGTCACTATGGCGCTCACGGAGCCCCTACCCATGTAAGGCTTGGTGCCGGCCATGGTGGTGATCCGCATCTCCCTGGGCAGCATCGCGGCGATGTTGAAGTCTGTGATGTGCACGTGCCCTGGCAAGAGAGAAGGACCACAGGGAATGTCAGCGCATTCAACTCAGGGGCACAGCATGCGTCCAACTGAATGCTTCTGGGAGCTTAGCCTGTAAAAAATGCTTGTATCCAGGTTGCAATTGGTCCAGGGAAGTAAAAGCTGAATTATTCTGTCCTCAAGACCAATATGGTCTTCAGCCAGCTACCCTCTAAACATCAGAAGGTGATAAGCAAATGTTAGTGTCTGGTTCTAAACTTGGAGCTCATCCTCAGAAAGTTTTAACCTTGCTGGTTAAGTGCCCATGCTGTGGTACTTTCTACCTAGCCAATCTTTGTCAGCTGGCAACATTTTAAATTGGTGTCCTGTGAGTATCAAGAGGGAAGCAGCCAGAAGCTATTCGAAGTATCAAATTTCCAAGCACCTCTTACGGGATCTTTTTTTTTTTAGGAGACAAATATTGTTACTACAAAGCTGACACAAATACATATATTTATTCTATACCAAGAAAAAGTCATTTTTTTCCTCATTTTTCTGAAACACCATTAGTATTTTTTGTCAGATGGTTCAGGCTTTCCCTCACTTATCCTCGACAAAGTGGCTTATTAAGAGAAGGCAGGGAAAAAAGGCAAATTTTATTATAAGGAGCCCTAGACTGGAATCCAGGAGATCTGGGTCCTACCCTGAACTCAGCCCCTAAAACATTGTAGACGTCATGTTCCTTTCCGGTGTCGAACCTGTTTCCCATTAGTTAAAAACAAAGCAAAACAAAAACCACAACAAAACGGACTGGGTAGTGGATGATGTCTAGGGTCTCCCTCAGCTCCAATACTTCTGGCAATGAGTGTGAGTCCAAACATTCGAGTTCCGCAAAGAGCATCCTACGGAGTGTGTTAGGGTCCCTGCATTTACAGCTACAAGGAGGAAGAGGGCAGTACCAGCGGCTCAGGGGGACAAGCCCATCGTGTTAGCTGCTGGCACAAAAGCCCTTTGCTTTCAGAGGATCTTGAAGTGTTGGCATTTCATTTCCATTTGCACGCGGCTGTGGTTCGATGAGATGTGGCTGTAGGGAGGGATGTCATCTACTTCTCCCACATCCACAGTCCGCACACCCCCTGCTAAACTTCACCGTCTATTTGTCATGATCAGAAACTCCAGTGTCATTTGGCAAAACACACGTGCCTGGACTTCCCTCTCCAGAGACCCCAGTGCCTTGCGGCTGGGAAGAGAGCCAGCCACCCACTTTAAGAGGAAGACACTCCCCAGGTGGCCGAGACGAGCAGCCAGGCATGCAGCCCTCCACTTCAGCCTGAGCAGAAGAGCTAAACCGACTGAATCCCAGGGTTATCTAGGCTAGTGCAGGAGTAGAAGGTAGAGGATAGTTTAGAGCCACTTGGTTCTCAAAGCGTGGTCCCCGGACCAGCAAAATAGTATCACCTGGGAACTTGTTAGAACTGCAGATGATCAGCCCCTGCCCCCAATGCACTGGATCAGAAACTCTGAGAGCGGGCCGGTGTTTAGATGAACACCCCCTCCACCAGGTGGTTCCTATCCAAGGAAAGTCTCCGACGCTCTTTTGAAAGAAGACCTGGCGTGGTAGCAGATCTTTGCGCTGGTAAGTACTCATTACGTATCTTTTGAATTTGGTTGGAAGGAACTTGAAGTTTATCTTTCAAGTGGCATTTACATTCCTATGATTCACTGCCATTTTCAAATGATTTTCACACACTTTAGCCTAGTGAGGTAGTCTTATTTTATAGAAGAGTTGTTTGTGGTTAAGTGGAACTAGAATTCAAGGACCTAGAATTTGGCCTCCAAAAACTTTTTGTGCTACATCCCGACACCAAAGGGCTGGATAAATTGGAAACAATCACCTTTCGGTTGGCTCAGAGTTTATTTCTCCACCAGATGTAAAGGATGGGGAGGAATTATTTGAGGGTCAGGACCTGCTGGAACCTGGAGACCCTAGTAAGTTCTCGGTTCGTATCTTTTGAATCTGGTTGAAAGGAAACCTCATGCGTTTAAGCTAAACAATGAAAGCAAGGTTTCCCAGAGCCCATGGGTAGCGGCTGGAGCCTCCATCCCAGGCCCAGGATGCCGCTGTGCCCCCGTCTGCTCACTTCGGTGATCTCTCTGCCGGGTTCCCCCCTGTGCTGTCAAAATGAATCTGGGTGCCGGCTCACAGGGGAGGAAGGGTCCGTCACCTGCTGGTTGAGAGAGCCGGGAGTTGTCTTGGGAGTAAGGGAAAGCGCTGGCTTCTTCGTAAACTCAGGCCCCAGGAGGGCCTCAGGACGGGGCTTCTCAGCCTGGGTACTACTGAGATCTTGGTCCTGCTGATTCTGTGCTGTGCAACTGCAGATGCTTAGTCGTATCCCTGGCCTCTACCCACTGATGCCAATAGCACGCCCTACTCTTGGCTGGACCCCCCTGACAATCATAAATAGCTCCAGACACGGAGGGGCGGTAGAGCCAACTCCTCCCTGGTTAGAACCACAGCCTCAGTGTGAGGCTCTCCAGGCCCCAGGCGCAGGACTGCCTGAGGCCGCACCCTGACCCGCCCTCGTCTTGCCACCTCTGGGGGGCACAGGATCGCACTGAGAGCCCCAGGTCTTAGTGTTGAATCGCTGAGTTCAGTCGTCACTGTCGTCAGATGTACACTCTCGCCGGGCCGTGTTCAGCCGGAGGGTCTTCCTTCGCACAGCACTCCAGGACCCCATAACCAACTGGCTGGCGTTGCCCCTGACTTTTAAAAATTTTCCTTGCTCGAAAATGTTGAGCGTATGTGAGCCACTTTTTTCTGAGGTTCGTGTTATAAATGCATATCCTTAGGTACTAGCTGAGACTTAATAAATCTGACTATTGGGAATATGGCACAGTAATATATATATATATATATGATGATATATATAAATTTTTTTTTTCTTAAAAAATTGTTGCCTACCTGGATTTTAGGTACATTTTGGGACTCTGCAAGGGAGAAGCTGCTGAGGTAGCAGGCTCAGCTCTCCCTCACTCCCCCAGACTGGACTTTTGCGTCTCTGTTCCCTGTGATGACGAATGATATTAAGAAACCTAAAGTATAGACAATGTCTAATTGCCATTTTCTCAGATGTGCCAGGCAAACATTACTGTTCCTCTGGCTGCAGCATCTATTCCTGAATAATTTAAGAAAAACACAAGAATTTTAGACACTATGGAACCGACAGAATTAGATGGGTACTTAAGTTGGTACAATCTAAGAATATATATCAGGACGGTTGGTTATGAGCCGTCCAGAAGTCAGACGGCACCTGCGGCTCTGAACTAGTGAGGAGACGTTTGGGGAAGAGAGTAACAGGTACGCTCTAAATTAAACACATTGTTTTAAGTCAAATTGTGATGTACAAGGAATGTTCATTTGTACGGTGAAAGATTCTCCATTTTACAGAATGATTCAGCTCCTTTAAATATCACTGTTTCCTGATGAATATGAACCGATATGAATCAATAAGAATGAGCAAAGTTTCTTCCTGTGACTGAATGATGCTAATTGAAATGTATGTGGTGAGACACACAGCTCTCCTGGAGGGGGTGTGGGAGGCATATCCGAGATAGGCGATTATCCTTCACTAAAACCCCCCTGCGAGAGGCGCATGTGATGGCCCACCAGTGGTGAAATAATATAAATGTGGCTGGGGAAGACAAAGGAGGGTTCAAATGTGGGGCCTGGGAAATCACACCAGAAGACACTCCCCGAGGCAGGCGCTGACTTGTGATTCGGTCGATCGGCCCAAGAGCCGCTCAGTGTCATGAGCTGGGAGGTGGGTGGTAGGTAAGCGGCAACTTATTCATCTGCAAGTGGTTCATTCTGATCCCTGAGTGAGCCTGAAAGCCTTAGTTTCTCAGAATCTGAATAAAGAGAAAGTAAATAACCTCAAAATATAATTTTCTCCAGAAAGGGATCCTCAGGACAATGTCAAGACAACAGCTCTCCGTCTTTTCCGTTTGCTTCCATCCCACGCACACATCCATAACCCTTTTCAAAGCAGTGTGTCTCTTATTCGCTGTAGTGACTTCAAGTTGAGTTCAGGGTGGGAGTATAATCTAGATAAGCCCCCACTTAATTCACTGTCTCAAACCCAAGAGTTGAGAGTTAAAGGAGTCACCGCAAAGGGGGGGAACCCGCTGACAGGCGCAGGCACCCCAGGATGGCGCTTCTGCTCCCTTGGCCGGAGCCCCAGCCCCACCAACAAGAAAACACCCTGAGAAGTGGCTTAGCCCCCTGTGCATGTATGCGAAAGGCAGAATGGGCCATTGAAAGCGTAGTTACCTGAAAATTAGGGTTCAACAGAACTATTTAAACACGAGACCTAACACATAGACACACAGAATCGTTGGCACATCCCTTCTGCAATCAAAATAATTCTTGGGTAAAGATACGTGAATACCCAGCTTGTACAATGACTCTCTGTGATACGGACAAGGCCACATCAAACAAGGGAAAGCCGTTTAAGGTTCCTTCCCTAGGGGAGAAAGCCACCATCTCCTCATGGAATCATACTAACATCTGACTTTCTTAAGAGTAATATCCTTGTGCAGACTGTGCAATCAAGCACTCTATAAATGTACGGCACCTAGCCTGCACAGCACCCCTCAGAAGTGAGCGCTCTTTTGATCCTGAAGAGACTAAGGTGCAGAGAAAGTCGAAGCGACCTGTTGACTGTCAGAGCTGGTGAGCGGGCGAACGGGGTTTTGAAATGCAGGCAAATCTGGCTCCAGAATCCATGACCTTAATTGTATCAGGCAGTTAATCTTTCACAAGGGTAGTCTCCCAGGGTAGTTAAACTTGGAGGAGTAATTTATTTCTGGACTGTTCTCCTAATCTACAATCACCAAGTTGACAAAAAGGAAAAAAAAAATGAGGAACAAGAAACTGAATGAGAGAACAGGTGACCTCAACACGGTAGAAATGAGGGCATGTTGAGGCCCAAGATTAAAGCACTGTTCTCTGAAAGGAAGGTACGTCTTTAAAACGTTCTGGCTGAGAGGACCCGTGTGTCTCCGTTCAGAGCCTCAGCAGATGGCAGAGTGGCAACTGGATGCAAAGGCAACCAGCCAAGGAGGCGGGCGGGGGCGGAACCCCAAACTGGGTTCTGCTTCATGGGCCACACGCTCTCACGAGGCTGTGGTGGGCAGGCAGAGCACCTCCTTCTCAGTCGTGCACAGGTAGCCCCTCTAGACTAGGGGCTGCTCTCCGTGACCATGAAGCTCCCTAGAGCTTACCTGCACTGGGTGAGACAGGAGCCTGCTTCCTCTAGGGCAGGGATGGCTGGTGTTTTAATGAAAGTCGCCTTCACGCTAAAGCTACTCGTGCTCACCCTGCTGAGACTCAGGGAATCTGTTCCCAAATGTCGGAAACAGAAAGGGAAGCAAGAAATAAGGCATTGGAAGAAAGTGGAAAAATATTTTTTTGACAGTCCATTAAAAAATAATGACCCTGAGCTTTGAAATTAGAGGTCATACACAAAAGTGTTTCTTAGCCCTCTGCACACAGGTCTGGTAAATCAGGTTTAAAATGAACTATGTAAATAAATAATGAGCAATGGCTGGTACTTGGAGTTTCAGTCCCCCTTGCAAAGCCCTTTTGTGAACGTTAGATGAATAAGGAGTTTTTCAGAGTTAGGACTCCTTCATCTAGCAGCTTCCTGAAAACATGACAAGGATCTTATTGCCACTGGAACATTTATGACATGAAGGCTGTGTGCCTCACAGGTCTGCTCTAAGGTACCCGTAAATCCAAACATACATTAGAATAAATATTTGGAAGAGATTATGCACATCTAATCATTGTTGGCAAGAGCTTATTCTACCAGATATTTTTAATGAGTTTCTTGAACTTGGGCATTCATTTGTCTCCTTCATGATTATTGCCATATCCCTATATCACTTTGATACTTGGGTACCAATATACTCTTATCCATTTTATATATTTCTTTAAACTGATGACATTTTTTAAGGTGAAAAATCTTTGAATAGAAAATTTGATATCTCTTCTGCAAAGGTAAAACCCCACTCATCCTCATAAGAAGGAAAGCAGAAAAATAGAAGCAATGACAACAGAATAGTGTCATTAAGTTCTAGGCAGACACTACTGCCTGCTAAATGCCTGAAGCTTGAGGCCTCTCCTGTCTTTATGACAAGAGGGAGATGATTGTTATAAAGATATTAAGGGAAATTAGCACCCCAAAACTGTGATGGTTTTCCGGGAGAAATCGGTAGGTGAGGAAGAAAACTGTAAACAGTTACTTTTTCATGAAGCAAGTCCAGAGTCATGTGAGGGCGTATTGGCACCATGCCACCTGCTAAAATGAAGCTCCTTCATATTTTCCTATCCACCCACAAAGTGGAATTTGTATGGATGACCGACTCCAGCAAGACCACTGTGCCATGCATAATACTCCCTTGCTGGGTGTGATCATTTTTGTTCCACACGCTTTTTTCTACATGTCACGTGGATTGCCAATAAATCATTTACTTACCATGTTCATCCAGCAAAATATTGTCAGGCTTCATGTCCCTAGAGGAGGAAAAGAAGGAGAAAGGTGCTCATAGTAAGACAAATAGAATTGAAGGGTAAAGCTGCAAATGCTCAAGAATGCGGACTAGGATTGAAATGAGGGCACGGGCCCCACACAACTCACAATCCCGTTCAATTCTCAGTGAACCTATGAGACGGTTACCATTAATTCCCCCAATTTCTAGATCAGAAAACTAAGGCTTAAAGAGGTTAAATAACTTCACCCAAGTTACAGAGCTAGTAAATGGAAGAACTGGACCCTGAACCTGGACGTCTCATGCAGAAGCTCCGACTCGTAATTTCTGTAGCATATGGTATCTAAGCATGGAGATAGTGCTCTTAGGATCGGATGGGACATAAAACCTGTCAGGCGATAGTAATACTAATTATCATTAAATATGATTTTCATCTGTGTGACTCTGGTATGAACTTAAAAGACTATAAAATAAGAAGAAAACACAGTCCAAAATGTAGTTATGTTTTAAACATGCAGAGATTAGAAATCTTTTTTTAGGATGGTGCTATAATGCCTGTAGTTACTTAAATATTATTCCATGGGTAGTTATTCAAAAGATTGGGACAAGTCTCCCATGCCTTGGTGAGATCCTTAAATCCATAGCGAAAATTTCCAATAGGCAGTAGCCGTGGTAAATACTTAAAGAAATGGCCTGTAGGGTTTGCAGTCCTCCTGAAGTGAGCATCATGCTAAGCAGCGCCCCTCAGCCAGAGAACCACACTGCCCCGGGCACCGCCCCCCTCTGCCCCTGCGTGTGGCTGCCCTTCCCCGATGTGCCGTTTAAAGCCCTCGACTCAAGTTCACAGAAGCCATTAGTGAAGAGATTCTGCAACAGGTTTTGGGAACACGTTTTCCGGCTTGTCAAGTGGCTTTTATGTCACTAGATTAAGATGACCTCAATCTTTGACAAATCAAGACTGTCAGGGCCCTCTTGAGAATCCGAATGAATAACAAGCCCCTTACCTACAAACAGAACCGAGCATAGGCCACAGCCACATGCAAGGGAACGGACCTCCTCACGAGCTTTGGTGATCTTCTTTTAGTTTGTCAGGTTCTTACAATGTGTTCTGAATTCTGAAGTGATCAACTGTATCTGTGGCAGATGTTCCCTGGTGCAAGGTACAATTTGCTAAAAAGATACAGTGCAAGGGGATTTCTAATTGCATGTTTCTCTGGCTAAAGTCTCTCTTAATAGACTCCATTTCAAACCCTTTGATGGAGCCTATGATTTAAAAAACTACCAAGTCCAAACTCACTCATATAAAATAAAATCCCATTCATAATCTGGCTCCTACGCTGTAGCCACACAGAAGTGTAAGGGGTTCCCTGAACGTTTCCCACATCCCCTCACCTTCTGCTGTTCCTCTGCTTGAATAAGGGCCTTCTCTCCCCTGCACACGGAAAAAGCAGATTCATCCCTCACCTCACAGCCTCAAGGTCACCTCCCACAGGAAGCCTTCCCTGATTTTCCGATTCTGAGTCAATGGCCTCTTCTCCATCCTCTGCATTGTACACTTCCTCCATCGTGATATTTGTCACACTTGTTAAAATCTTTTTTCCAGCTGGATCATGAATTCCTTGATGTCACGGATGGTTTCTAGATTAATGTCCAATTCTATCACATAGGCTGACAGTGCCTACTGGGCAGTAAGGGAATGAAGAAACGATCCTGGGGGAATTTCTCGTGCACTCAAGCAGGTTAATCCCAGCAGTACGTCCCAGAGCATTACCGTGCACCGTCACACACTCTCCGCAGCTTAGAGCTCAGGGTGCTTCCTGAGACCTGCCTCCAGGGAGGGTCGGCGTTTGCCAGGCGAGGAGGAGGCTGTGCGGAGTCCTGACAGGAAGAGACTTGGGTGTGGCACCATCAGCGTGATGACTTCTTGGTCTGAATTTATGAGGGTTTGCTGCGAGGAATGGCTTGCTGCGGCCTTGACATTTTATGAGCTTTCTATGAAACCCCTGAGCAGTATTTTTTAAATTTATGAAAGCTCCGTATCATTATACCCACTACTTCTCCCAGAAGCTACCTTGAAGCTTAAAGAATAGTACAGAGATCAGAGAGGTTAGTTTAATGTGACACTTCTTACTTCAATCTTATATTCATTTATTCATCAAATATTTATCTGCTTTGATAAGTCACCGTGCTGGGATATGGGAACCACAGACACAGATGAGATGCAGCTTCTCAGGGGCAGAAAGGACGGGAAAGGGTCTCAAGGAAGCACACCGACACGGTGTGAGGTGGTGAAGCGGCACGTCTACTACTACATTCAGGGAAAGAACATGACGAAAATCTAAGACAAATATAAAAGTGGACCTCTAACAGAAATAAAGCATATATGCATGAATTCTAAAGACAGTTTCCCAAAATGGGATGATGTAACTTCAAAGTCGCCTAAGGGTAGACTGCAACATAACATTGTTTATTCATGCTCTAGGAGAAAGAAAATGGAAATAAACCCGGTGTATTCTATTAAAATTCCTGCTAGAACAAGCTGAGATCTTCTAGTCCTGAAATCCGGCGCCACTTCCTTAGGTTTCCAGTCTTGTCTTCTCAAGTAACCCTAAATATGGAATACTTTATTCCAAAGTGTTTCTTTCATTTAAGTTTATCTATAATATGGTTTAACTTGGTGCTTACCAAGCCTGGATATCTTCAGAATCACCTGGGGGCTTTAAACCACATGGGTCCCCAGACCCAGCTCGGTCCTACGGCAATCAGACTCTGTGGAAAGGCCAGGTATCCGTCCAAATACAAGCAGAATCTAGGACCTTCTGATGTACAGTCATGTCATCCATGAAATACCGTTGTGTAAATCCAAAATTATCAATTGGGTTTTAATATATGAAACTCTAAAAGCTTATCTATGAATGAAAAGTGTTGGAAAACCACAGCACTTAACCACTTTTGGCAAAATTCTTTTGTTAAAGTATGTGTGGAGGTCTCTGACAACCTGCGTATCATTAACAGGTAGCTAATGAGTTTCCTCCCACTGGGTATCTATCATTCTTGGAGACACGGTGTCTGTGAGGACCTTCCATCTACTACCTTAGCCTCCCACTGCCCGACTTAGCTCCGATCACCTTCCCACCCATGCTGCCCCAACTGTTCCCTCAGTCCCATTTCCTCAGTCATTTCTCTGTCATTACCACAGCCCCCACCTGACCAGCATGACCTTCAGTCCGCAGCAATTCCCAAGCTGGCATTTCCGACACAGTGAGGTCCCCTGTTACTGCCCCTGCCCCCTTTTCTTTTTACATCCAAAGCCTCATCTCCTCAGTCCTCTTCCCTAGTCCCTGGCTCACATTCCTTGTACAATCTCTCAATGTGCCCATCCCCTTCCCTTGCCCTCACCCCATAAGATCCCACATAAACCCTCACCGAATAAAAATACAACTCCCCAAATTCTTCCTGCCTGCAGCCATGCACCCGAACCTTTGCTAGAAGAAAAGACATAGGACTGTTGATGGTTCTTGTTTAAATCAATGGCTGTGTGTCTCCCGGTGGCCATCAGTGCGGCAGGCGATGCTGTGGTGCTTGCCTTCCCCGGCATGACCCTTGACCCCCCTCCCTTCACAGTCTCCCTCCCACTTTGTCCTGGGTGACGGCCGTACCACCTTACTCCACAAAGTGAGAGAACTGTCATCGGAGAGCTCATCTACCACTAAGTCTCCACCTCCTCTTTCCATGTCCAGATCCCTCCCCTGATGCCTGAGGGGGGTCCTCTGCCCCCACCCCCAGCAGCTCTTCCACTGGGCTCTGGATCTCTGCCCTCTGACCTCCTCCTGGAGTCCCCCCAGGTCAGGATTCCTTCCTTCCTACACCATCTCCTTCTTCTTCCTTGAGTAAAAATCTTATGATCGAATCTGTTGGAAATACCTTCCTTGATGCACAGCCACCCCCACTTTCACCATTTTCCTTCACACTAACACCTCTGGATCGAGTTGTTGAGAGGTGGGGAATTCTCACCCTTTCTGACCAGGCCCCCACCGCCTCTGCTCCCTGTAATGGCCCTTGTTGGGTGCACTGGGGGCCTCCAGCTCGCCAGATGCCACTGCCACACTTCTGGTCATCGGGCTCAGCTGCTCAGTGGGTTGGTCACCCTTCCCTCCTGACATATTTTATTCTTGTGACTTGCAAAAGCCACATTCCCCTGACTCTACTCACACCACAGAACCCTTCCTCGGCCTTGTTTGCTGGCATCTTCGTGGTTCAACCTCTAAATACTGAGATTCTCCAGGGTTCAGTCTTCTGTATGACTACTCCCACTTCAGTGATTTTATTTGGTTATTTTCAATATTATGTATATAATATTATATTTTTATTATTAGGATATTGTATCTGGTGCTCATTCCCTAGCTACATCTCTTATCACCCTCTCCCTGCACACTGGTCTTCTTTACCCCTTTGTGCCGACTGTCCATCCGCCTGCAGTCTTGTTCCGCTGGAGAAGCACATGGCTCGTTCCTTCTCACTCCTACCTCGGCTCAAACATCACGTCCTCCAAGGTCCTGGCCACCCAGTCCCGAGCAGCATTCCAATCCGCCCTTACGCCTTCGCCCCCCTCTTATTCTCAGCACAGCACTTACCACTGCCTGGTTCTGATTTATTCATTAACCCCCCTCCCCCACAGAATGTAAGTTCTCAGAGAAAGGGCTTCTTTTCTGTATTATTGGATGCTACGGCTCCCAGGCTCAGGAAAGTGCCCAGAGGGAGGTAAGTGCCTGAGTAAATATGTGTCATACAAATGAGTGACTGTGGTCCCCTGGCTTCTCAAACTTCTGGAACAATAAGCCATGCATTTCTTTATCCCTTAAGAACCTTAAGAAGAAAAACAAAACAAAATAAAAGAACAACAATCAAAAGAAAAGAAAGAAAGAAAGAAAGAAAAAAGAACCCTCTATCTATGCCAGATGGACTATATGTACTGTTGGCCAACTGAACAACTGATCATTTTTAGTAGCGTATATTAGAGCAAGA